TGATGACTATTTTCCAGCTTGTACAGCTTCAAATAGATGTTGCTCACTCAGCGGGCCGTCTCTGTCGAAAACTGGCGTTCATGTTTTTGGCAGGCAGGATGAGGCACCAGCTTTAAATTAATTATAAGTTTTGGTTGTCAGGCTGCGTACAGTACAAAATTGCGCGTGACATTAATTGTGATGGTCGTGTATGCATAGAACGGGGTTCGGGACCATGTAGACCATCTAATTTTGCCGTGGGGTACTGAACCTGGCCACGCGGGCCAGTGCCTGCTGGATCCCTAAACTAAACCGATTACGAGGCGTCCGATTGTGTGCGTTCACGACGCGACATTTTTAACTTCACGCGCAATTTTCGGGGGTACTGTACGCAGCCCGACGACCTAAACTTATAATCTTCTCAAGTTTAAAGAGAAAAACGTTTGAGATCCTCCTCCCCCCCCCATCCTCCGATCACAGAGTGGTAAATAACCGCAATGTGAGGAGGGATCTATGTAAGCACTAATAAACAATTAAAATTCACAGGGGAAAGCTAAACGTCACAGTCAGATCCTTATTTTCAGCAAATTTTCATTTTTTGTGGTCAGCATAGCGCAGTTTCGACATCATCTAGTCATTTTACCACTTTGTCATACTTGCTGAGGAATTAGTGAAATGGAGAACGGTAAAAAACGAATTTTGGTATGTCGTTTGAAACATGCTGCTTACCTCCACGAAGAGCACTCTTCCACTGCTGATAAGATCGGCGTGGTGTTTTTCGGTGTTCTTTTTCGCTAATGCAACTAATTCTGGGATGTGCTCTATACCAACCACTTTTCCATTGCTGCCAATCTGAAACGATCGATAAAAGATTTATTGAAACAGGTTCGAGGAGGTAAAGGCTTATCCACGTAAAAGTCATCCTGTAAAGCACCGCTGTGATAACTGGAAGTTTGATGCCCGGTCATCGACAGGCTTAAAAAGCAGTGGGCACGATGGCTAGAGAGTGCGGGTGCTGCTAACGTCATTGGCGAAAGGGCTGCGAGATGGCGTTTGAAGATACCCCTCTCAGCCCTTTCACCAATGACGTTGGCACTAACCGCCCGCCCACAACCATCGTGCTCAATGCTTTTGAATGTCCTCCTAATCTTCTGGTTCGCTACGTCCAGAATAACCGCACTAGATATATCTGGCATTTCCTGCGAGTTCCACTAGCCTATGAACTTTTTTACGAGTAGTTACCCCGTAGGCAATACACCGGCATAGAGAGTTGTAACTATCTGTAGGTCGATCCTGCCAAGAGTTTGACATGGGCAGACTGTCTCACCGAGAACGTCTAGCCAATCTTCCAAAGGACCTAATCAACCTGAAAATGGTATGAGGGCCCGTCCCCACTCTACCCCCACACCCCACTGTATGATATAAAAAATAGTTCTAGCCGCTTTTTTTCAATTCGCATATAGATTACTTACCATAAGCGCCATGCAGACTGTGAGATATCCGGAACCAGATCCGACATCCAAAGCATAGGCACCGTCAACCAAATGGTTTTTCAAATGTTCTAATGCAGCAGCATGCTGAAATTGAGGAAAAATAAGGGAATTTTGATGAAAAGAAGACACGTTTAAAGTAAATGAATTTTCGCATTCTGAGGAGAAACCACGGGGTAGACACGCCTGAATAGCCCAACACACAGGAACTTATCCCATGTGCGCTGCATTTCCCAGCTTGCTACTTCACTCGCTTATTATAACACTTCCAAATTAGCTACGCACTGGTGCGAATACCGCGCACGAGACGCCACAAGGACTTGGCTTTGTCCATGCAAGGGCCATTTCAGCTCCTAGATTTCTAGAACATCCAGACCTCTAGTTTCCAGCTAAAACTATCTCCAGAATACTGAGTTATGAGCAGAATCTCCACCGCAGGACTCAAAATCGCACCTCACGCTTTCTAACCAAGTGGTTCATTCGTTACCCAACCAAACCGCTTCTTTCACTCTCAATTGGATGGCCTTTTGTGCCGTTTGTCGATTAGACGTACAGCACCACAAAACTGTCTGAAGCGCGTAGGCACTATATATTTGGCTAATGCTCAAAATAAGCAGGTCGCCCCATATAATGGTGAAAAATGACGAAAAGCGAGAGTCAGCGGCTTAAAACTGCGAACAACCCTTTTGTCCAATTATCGCCCGGACAAAAATCAACGTCGTGTCGATACCGCCGCAGCATAGTAACTGGAGGCCCCATCACAGTATTTTCATCTACATGAACCCATTTGGTTTAGTGACAGGAACAGGGCACATATCGTTGGTTGGGGAATCCCCAACAGGGGGTCGTATTTGGCCGCCAGGAGAGGGGGGGGGTCGTAGTGAGTGCGGCAGCCAGTAACGAGCAGCGCAAATTGTCAATGTGCTGAGTCCTGTACAACGAAACTTGCTTTGTAGAGAACTCGGATATGCACTCTCCTTACAACAAAATCAGCTACAAAAATTTCATTCATCAAACTAATCCGAAATAACTGCAAATATTAATAAGTCGACATTATCTCGTAAGTCCGTTGGTTACTAAATAGTACAACTCAAACTCTGGTCGCTGCTCAATGATATGCGTGTCGGCCTGTATTTCGCGCTTTGCGCCACTGAGACCAACCTTTTTTTCTCGACAACGCGACGGACTACCATATCGTTATACATGACGTTTTCCAGCGTTGGTCTTCCTTTTATCGGATGTTACGATTCCGGAGCAAGAATGTCGCAGCCAGTTGCAGCGGACATGTTCATCAATACCGCAAACGGAAAACACTGTAAACAAGTGCACAGGCTCGCCATGGACCTCCCTGAATCCTATAGACACATTTGCTCGCGTGGACAGACATTACGCACAAGTTGCACCATCCCATCACCTCTGCGCGGCCCTCAGTGCGCGGCGCATCCAAAGTTGGCGTGATCGGCGCTAAACGAACCATATCCTGCTCCTGCTCCACCACAGGATACGTTCTACATGCGTTCCTGGCTATTCGAACACGCTACACATTTGAAACTGTCATCAGAACGGGTTTTTCCCGCAGCTGGAGTTTCTCAAGAATCCCCATAGCGAGATCTCATGAATCCCGAGAGCTTCAGAAACAGTTCAAGAGGTTTTTAGAAAGAGAAAATCTTCAAACACTCGAAACCATTCTCAGATTTGTGAAATGTTGAGTTACAAAAAAATATATTGATTCAAACCTGTTCGGTTGAAACCACTCCCCAACGAATCCCTATGGCAGATTTCTCTGTGATTTTTGCGACGTTCATAAACGTTTTAGTACTTTTAGGAAGTGCAAACCTTCCTCTACACGAGTACGGTCTCCTCTTCCCCACAGGTCCGCTTTTGAGGAAGTTATGGTCCTTCAAAGACACCTAACTCAGCTGGAAATTCTCGCTCCATGGCTAAAATTGCCGAATAATCTCCTGTCACAGCCGCAATTACATGCGCATTCTGCTACCGTACTCCACATAATCGGCGCAGACACGGAGCTAATGCATTTTTACGCGGTTATGTCATGTAACTGTTTACGTAGTGAGACAAGCCTAACTTTCTCTTTTCCTCGTCCTCAATCTTGGGAATAGACGTCTGTTAACACTGTGGTCGCTGATGGCACGCTCCCAGAGAGGAGTACACCTACGTTACGAATTGCTCATTGAGATTTAATCGCGATACATCGTTATTATTACCATGTGTCTTTCAAAACGGCCATCGAAAAAGTTCATCATACGAGTTCTCATAATACGATTGTACCGTTTTCGTATTTATGCCAATCAATCTCTGCTACTGTTTAATTATGTCATGACTTCAAGTCGTCCATTTAGTATGGGCACCTTCATACAAGTAGAATTTCATAGTGGGCGTTTCATAGTTTCATTTAAGGCGAAAAAAACCGAACGGCAAAAAAAGGGGGGGGTCGTACCGAACCCCCAAGCAGAAGGAGGGCACGGGCGGCGTACAGGCTCGACACCAAAATCCCCATCGCAATCGCTGTGCCGCCTACAGGAACTGGTCAGGCTACCGCAGGTTCATACAATTCGCGCGTGAAACGAAGTCTGAACGTCGTCGCGCGTCGACGGGCGCAATTGCAGCAACCTATGTATACAACCGATCGCACCTCGCACGAGGGAGTCGAGCAGCGCAACCGCTTGTGTTCTGAGAAAGTATGGGGGACTGGGAGGACACGCGCTGCCTGATCACATAGCCTGGCACCAATGGGCACTGGCTGCTACTGTTTTGGGAGAGTTTAAAAGAAAAGGAAGGCACTAGGTTGTGTGGAGGTAGCCCCTATCCTCCTGTTATCCTGAACTCTCTCTCAAAACACAAGCGGCTGGCGCTGATCGATCGTCGTTTGCAGTTGCGCCAGCGTCTATAGCAGTGGGGCGTCTTTGCAGGGTAGCGCGTCGACGCGCATTATTACGAACCCTAAACGCTACTTGACAAGCCTGAACCAACAATGCAATGATGCGAATATCTTCTAGGAGTACACATTATTGGGGAAAGTAAATACGCACTTGGTCGCCGCGGCAATTTTTTTGGGATTCGAAAGCGTCGTACAGTCAAAAGGATTATTAAATGCCTGTCACATTGTTGGTCTTTAATCACATTGAGTCCAACGAAGACGAATCCTTGCTTGGCCCGGCGGAGACCAAAGGTACATTTCGCGATTAGCTAACTTGAAGTAGTGGATCACGTGCGCGGGACCGAGTGCCCCGAAATTCCACACTTTAGGTTTTTGGCGAGCGCACTGCATGCTTATTATAAAGTGCTACAGGCTTGTTCCAGTCCATGTTAGTTGGAATATGTCGTGGTATGTTGTCTCGCTCA